TATTAAAGCAGCATCCTGATAACAGTTAATTTCGATCTGTCTCTAACTTTGTTTTGATAGACCTGAAAACCTTTAATAATCATGTATTATATACACACACGCACATTTCTTAACAAAGGGCAAACATTTTAAGTATGTAAACCCATTTGGAATTTTGTGAGCATGTCATGGGTGCGAAATTACTGCCTAGGAAAGACTTCTACATTTACAAAATATATGGCTGGGGCTGCAAAACTCTGCCCAGTCAGTAGGTGACCCCGCTGACCCAGATGCCCCAACACTTGCCTTGTTCTTCCGAGCAGATGGGTTAGGGACATTCTTGTAAATAAAGCTGAAGTTAAGGACTCATGCTTTGTTTTTCAGCTATGTTTTATTTAGATTCTTTCAATTAATGTAAGTTGGTGGAAACCAAAGGAAATGTTTCTGAATACCCTGATGCCTATAGGCACCTACTGCCTATCAGTATTTTAGTGAGGACAATATTAACCAATATTCAGTACAGTATTTATATTCTTATTTACTATATAGTAATTTTACGTATCACCAACCTAATCTCTCGATCATGTATTGAAGAAGAGTATGCTATATCCAGTGTAATGCCAAAATTCTTTAGAGACTGCTGTATTTCTTCTAAGGCACCCATCTGTTGACTCTTCCCATGACCCTGTTATGATTTAAGACATGTTATCATTTAAACATGAACGTACAATCTAACATCATCAATTCAGAATTCTCTGAAAAACATTACTATTTTTACTTACTTTAATGTAGACCACCTTAATGTTATACTTTTTCAGCCAAAAACTACAAACTATCTTATGAAGAGAAACCTGTACCGATTATTTTTCTGTGTAAACAACAGATGACTTGTAAGAAAACAAGCCTTGATTCCATGACACAGAAGCCAAACAAACAAACGAACTAACAAACTTAGAAACACCAGGCCCCAGAGGCTAGTGGAAAAGCCAGAGGAAGATTCCCCCTCTGAAATTCCTGACACCTCCTACAATACAATACAGATTTTCAGATTGAATTAGTAATTTGTAAAACACTAATGTGACAAGAGAGCCAGTTGGGTGTAGTGGTTAAGGCACCAGGCTTGAAGTGGGAGACTGTGAGTTCTAGTTCCACTTTAGGCCAGCTGTGTGACCTTGAAACGGTCATTCTCTCTCACCCCTAAGAAAAAGGCAATGGCAAACTACTTCTGAAATCTTGCCAAGAAAACTGCAGGGACTAGTCCAGGCAGTTGCCAGGAGTCAACAATGACTTGAAATATGTCAGAAATAAGTACAAAATATGTTAGAAAGGGGAATAAAACTATCTCATTGATAGAGCACATGCTTGTGTGCAAAAGCTTCTTGGTAAAATTCTTGACTTTTCCTGTAGATATTGGAAAGAAACTTTGAGGAACTGCTACCAAACAGCATATAAAATACTGAGCCAAAACCAATAATTTGATTCAATATATTCCATTTTCTTCTATTACCAATTTAAAATTGATCTGATCCCACTCACTGAGGGTACCTAAGTTTAGCTTGTTTTCAAACTATTCTTACCCCAAAGCATAACCAACTCTCCTAATACAAGAAGTGTTCAATTTTAATGCAAGAGATAGCAATCTTTTTCACCTACAAATGGATTTTTTTAATCAATTATTTTTTCTGACCCAAAATATGACAGAATGTTATTTACAGAAGTAAGTGAAAATTCTTTTTTGTATTTTTACCACAAAATTACTTTACTTCCATTCAGCAAATGCAACCTGATACTGAGTAAGAGGCTATTCATGCAATCCTAAATATATTAAGTAATTCTTACTAAATTCTGTAATAATGATTGCAGTCTTAAATACTTACTTCTTCATGAGAGGTAAGGAGGTGTATAGTTTTCATTCTGCATGGTCCTTTAACAAGCATTTCACAGAATCTTAAAAAGTTGTACAACTGTAGAAAATTAAACAAGATTAATTTTTCAGATGGAAAGGGGCAAACTGTCTTGATTAAATGCAGCACCACTATTTCACCTGGTGGGCTTGGCGAATGTAAGGATCCTCAACCCAAACCTCTGTAACAGTTTCATTCAGATATTCTTGGAACAGTTTTTCATAGCTGAATCCTTTGCTATCCTCTCCAATTTTAATTTGTTTGTGGCATTTCCCATCTAAAAACAAGAACGAATTTTCACTAAGAATCTCCCCTCACGACAGTTATGTCATGGTTGAATTAAAAAGGTCTTCTAATGTACTTTTTAAAAGCAGTGTTAAGGAAACTTACATTATAGCTTCATACCTTCTTTTTCCTTCACAACGTATTCCTTAATTTCTTCTGCTCTGTTCATGTAACTTGTTATTTTGTTTCTGTAGTAGGCCCTTTTCTTCTCATCTTTTGTAGCTGTGAACAGAAGACAAGAAAGAAATGGAAAAAAGGTATTTCTCCTCCCATTCATTTCATTACATGACCTTTACGTACATAGCAAGAGTACTGAGTGGTGAAGGACTCTTATGCATCAAGTATCTCAGCAGAGGGAAGGCCCATCTGGCTCCCAGATTTTTTCTGGGTGGTTGAAGTTATGTATTTTGAGATCTTGTCGAGGAAAAAATGTGATTAATATTTTTTTTCTCTTCCTTCACACTTTTTTACTCCTTTTTTACTCTTTTCTTTCTATTAGTTTTTACTATTGCAATTATAATCGTTAATAAAATTATTTTTTTAAAAAAAGAGAAGACTAGTATATTTGTGTATTTTATTTTGTTTTTAGTTTTAGGGATGAATGACTTAGGCCGCCATTCTGTATCTACCTACAGTAAACCTCTATTGAATTCCTAGGAATTATTGCTAACTGGACATGTATAAAATTGCTCTGCAAGCTGTAAGATTCCATAGCAACTTTATATGAACTTCCTGAGATGATCTCACTGAACACTGGGAAGGGTGAAGGGAAATCATGTACAAGGAGGTATGGACTAAAGCACATGGGGCTTTCAAGGTAATACAGGTAGTCCTCACTTAACATCCACTCGTTCAGCAACCAAAGTTATGACGGCACTGAATGAGGGGGACTTATGACAGGCCCTCATAGTTGCAACCATTACAGCATCCCTGTGGTCTCATGATCGCGATTCAGGCGTTTGGTGATCAAGTCACAATTATGATGTCACAGCATCCCGTGGTCACGTGATCGCCATTTGTTACCTTCACTGGTGGCTTCCAACAAGCAAAGTCAATGGGAAAGCTGGCAGGAGGTCACAAATGGCAATCAAATTACTGTGGGATGCTGCAACCATGTGGGATTTGCCTAAAGATGGCAACTGAGACTGCTGGAATTGCTGTCGCAAGTCAGCGCTGTCACGTGATGGCATGCCTTACAACCGCATCACTTAACGATAGAGTTCCCAGTCCCAATTGCCATTGGTAAGTGAGGACTACCTGTAATCAGTACTTTTGATTTTTGGCCTGAAACAGACAGTCAATACAGTGCATTTAATACAAGTGTATTATGGTCCCTTTGATGTGTTTCTGAGACAAACTTAGCTAGTTTTTGTACCAACAGCAACTTACAGACTAGACACAAAAGCAACCTCACGTAGAGCACATTACAGTAATTGAATCTGAACCTGCATCACAGTTTTAAGGTTTATTTTCTTCCAGGAAAGGATGCAATTGGTGCATCCTTCATGGTTGACAGAAATTTGTAGCCATTATCTCAGTATGAGAAAACAGATCAGGATCTAGAAGTGTAGAAAGATCTTCCATCTCTCTGAAACTTGTTCCCTTAACCTGTTTTGTCTGCATTCAGCTCAAAATCTTCCCCAGTGGTTTCAAGTAGTTATTAAAAATCATTTGAGCCAAAATGGAGAACTAAGGTATAGTTACCACCATACAGTAACTTCTGTTTAGAAAAATAACACCATCTGAAATTACTTGAATTAATGATTAAACTTCAGGCTATTTCCCATCATATTTCATAAAATTTACAACTCTGGAAGCAGACATATCTGAGACTCTGGGGGTTGTTAGAATCATGAAAACTTCATCTCTCCCATTTGATAAAGACCTAGAAGCACTGAAGAGAATTATTTCTCATGAAACCAGAATCAAGAGAAAGATCAATCCCAACACAAACGTATTACAAATGTACAATCTGAGTGACTTAAAACAGGGTGCAGGTAGTGGACCATCTACCGAGTTAGAGGTTCTTAAACAAATACGGGGCAAAAAATATTCTGATCCAGCTTCCTCCCTGTCCCCGTTTTAGAGGTGGTGAAAGTACACCTCTTGCATCAAAGCCCGCAATCTTTTAAACTGTAGCCAAGCGGCACAGCCCAAATACAAGGCTTCCCCCTCAGTGAGAAAGGCCCCGTCTGATTAGGACTTCCATGTTCACCTGCAATCCATCTCTGGCCGCTGCACGAGGCTCGCAAAAATCCCCTTTCCGACTGACTGAGACCGGCCGTACGTACCAGGCTCCGTCTCCTCGCTCTGGGGATGGGAAGACGAAACTCTCACCTTTCAGCACGCTGAGAAGGAGATCAATCCCTTCCTGGTAGCAAACCAGCGACTCCTGGAAACGCGAAGCCGAGTCCAGTTCCACCGCCCGCTTCAGCACCGACGCCGCCGAATCCTCCATGTCAATCCGCCAGCGACGTCCGGCGCGACTCTCCGTGGAAGGCCGGGATCTGCGCCGCCGCCAGTAACGCAGCGTCCCGTGCCCAGCGCGGGAAACCCGCAAGAACGCAGGCGTCCATCCGACCCTCCACGCAAAGCCGGAAAGAGGCGAGAGCGCCCCGCCCTCTTCTGCTCACGTGATTCCTAGGAACGGGAAAGTGAAAGCCTCGGGAGAAGCAAACCCAAGTCGCCGACGCCCCTCACCCTCCTTTAGCTGCGGAGGAGGGGACTTTACACGTGATTGGAGTCTCCTTTCGCGAGGAGGAGAGTCGGCCGTGCAAGATGGCGGCCTGGAGGGGCGGTGTAGCCGCTTGGCAGGTGAGAGGACTGGAAACGATTAAAAGGTTTCTCAGAGAATTGTTTCATCAGGAAGAGAATTGCATTACGTTGCAGAAAGCCCTTTATGTTGCTGGACGTCCTTGCTGGAGCTGGAATAAAGCATAGCTGTCGTTCTTAAATGCGTTTTTAATTGGAGGCCTCAATTCTGGGAAAAATTGATTCCTTGAGTGGAGACTAGCAAGCATTCTTGTACTTCCTGTTTCGTAAACTAGTTATACTTTCCACACTAGCTGATTTCAATATACGTGAATGAGTAAGTCTGATAAATGACTGGCTTCCTGTGAACCTGTAATGCTTCTAGTTTTTCAGGAATGTAACATGATAGTTTCTTAGTAGAGTTAATAAACGTGCACATGCATTCTGTCATTATTATTTGAAACCTTGATATATTTGAATACATTATGCATTTAGCTCTGAAATATTACACTGTTTTCTCTTTTGTTTCTTCTTATGCTGCAGAATCTGACAAAAAGCGAACCAGTCGCTTGGAGAATATGGATTAGGCAGAAATTTACAAAGTCTCGAATTCCGGAATCAGTAAGCCTTGGTTTAAAAAAATTAATCAAACATTACAATTACAAATTAAAATTAAATTACAAATGAAAATGGCCAAAATATGTTCTTCTCCACATAAAATCTGTTGTGAAAATAATGTGAAATAATGCTCTGTACTTTTACAATAGAATTATAGTAGGTCTTTAAACTGGCTCTTTGGTATCTGAGCTGGTCAGAGAGTAACTTGCCATTGTTTCTGATATACCTTCCAGGCTAGAGAATTCATACGTAGCCACTATTTTATTTCACCTAGTTTCTTCTGGCTAATTAATGCATTCTCTTTGTAGCTTCCTCTTCTGCAGAGGTAGCTGGTTGAGCATTCAAAAGAATAACTCACTTTGTCTTAATCCCCAGTTTGATCCTTACTGTAGTCTCTTGAACCACATGCAGCCCAATTACTAGCCAGTATTCATGCCAGTAAATAATAAATTGTTAAGGAAGTGTTATAAATCATGAGAAGGCAAGAATTGTGTCAGAAAAAAGAGTGAAACCCCTACTTTAAACCTGGAAAGCTAAAGATAACTTTAAACTGGCTCTTTTGTATCTGAGGATGAGATGAAGCAATATTTTGAGGATAAGTTGTTTAAAAATGATTATTTGAGTATCTTTGTACCATGATTAGAGAAATGTGAAGATAAGCCCCAGAAATCACTAATCCAATAACTAACTTTACTTATTGTATTGGTTAATAATGAAAGTATAACTTACACTCATTCTGTTGAACTTCTTTTAGGTATTTCAACCACGACCTGGTGATCATGAAAAATATGGTGGTAATCCACAAGAGCCTCATAAACTACATCTTATCACCAGAATCAAAAGTGGAAGAAGGCGTCCTTATTGGGAAAAAGAATTGATCGAAGAGCTTGGATTAGGAAAAGTATGTAACCAATTTACAGTGTTCAGAGATTTTTTTCCCACCTCTAATACTATTTCATAGATTTCAGTCCTACGCATTGTTTATTCAGAAATTGTTCTTGCAAACTTAACGTTCAGATACATTTGAACAAAATGGTTGTTTATGACTAGATTTTGAGATGAGATTTGACCACATGCTAAAATAATTGGTAGCTGGAACAGCTCCATGTCACAGCAAATTATTACATTGACTAAACGTTTGAGTTCATTTCCATTGTAAAGTAGAAGGTCAGTATCAAAAGGAAAAGAGAATCTTGATTTGTGATTGACTGTTGGTGACTAAATAGATACAACCATGGAGTTTACTTGGAAACAGCAGGGAAATCATTTGCTTCTACCTTCTTCCAATATTTTTTTTACTTTATAGTGTAGCCTGCTAATTCCTTGTAGTTTCCCCTCCAACTACTAACCAGATCCAACCCTGTTTAGCTTCCAGGCCCAGAAATGGTTGAGTACCTGCTGAGATTAGCATTAGCTACTTCTAAGTATATAGTTATTTTGAGCTGTCCAAGGCCAGTATTGTCATCAGGATGATTTGCACATCTAATAGTAGATTGGAAAGAACAGTAGATTATAGTAAAATCTGCCAAGTACAATTATAATCTGCCAGTTATTAGTGCGGGATGGATACAACATGCCAATCACAAGATTCTGCCCTTGCTAGATAGCTGCTGTGAAGATCTCTGCCTGCCATTTCTCTCTATCACAGCAGAAGGTATCCAGAAGGTTAGTGTAACAATCTCCAGGGACAAGTAGTCATTTCTCAGAGTGAAGCCTTTTGAACGTAGTCAGAATGCAGTAGCACTGGAGTCTCCGGTGTTCCAGTTCTGGGCTGCAAGCATCAGATGCCACTAGATGGCAGCAAGAGATACAGAAAAATCTAACTCTGAAGTGCCATCTAGTAATTTGATTTTTGCAGCACAGATCTGTCAGTCTGCTGCAATAAGAAACAACTGTTCATAGAAATAGTAAAAAAAAAAAAAGAAAGAAAGAAAGAAAGAAAATTCAGGTCATTGCTGTTAAATTCAGCAGTAAAAAAAGGAGGGTGGTGGTATTTCCTCCTGTCTCAGGTCTTAAGACATCTTTGCACAGCTACTTCAGATCTTTACTTTTTGCTTGCATGGAAGCATTTTTATGTCATTTGTTAGAACTGGCAGTATCACCAGGGTCTGATCATTTTAAAATGCGGTAATTCCATCTTAGAAATTTATTTACTTGAACTATGGTACAAAGGCAATTTCCCTGAATTTAAAAAAAATGAATTTTGGGGAGGAGTGTATCAAAAAGAAGCTGCTGCTGCTGTTGTACAGTGAGGCAAAAAAGTATTTAGTCAGCCACCAATTGTGCAAGTTCTCCCACTTAAA